ACTGACTTTTCCAGTTAGTTACATGAACTTACAAATGGAAACCTTTCAGTCTGACATGGGATTTTTTTTTAAAGACAAATTTATTTTGATCTAGAAGAAAAGATTATGCACAACACCTACAGAAATTAAATCAAACTGATCTTCAGGATAGTTCAGCAGTAGATCTTTTTCATATTTCAAGATTTGCTCCTTGACAGTGGAAATAGGTGAAAATCCTCCACAAGAAAATGTGATTGTGATAGAAGTAATCAGACTTTATACCTCATCCTACTTTGCCTATAGTGAACCAAACTCATACTCTGCATTTCAACATTTTTATTTATGTAAGCTCATTGTTATGCTCTTACAATTCACCACTGTCTCTTCAGTTAGGATATCTGCCTTGTTCCTAAGTTAATACCTGGTAATGAATTTCTGGCATCCACAGAAGTGTACAGAGCACTTAACAGGCAAGTCATGTAAATGATGTACACAAGTACAATACTCAAAAAAAGAGACCAGAATACTGCTGTAGCCCAGTATTAACCATCCCTACAGTAAAACAAACAACAATTAAAACTTTGTTTTTATATGGCTATAATTATTAAAAAAAACCAATCACAATTATTGTAACTGGTTATTATTGTCAGCAACAGTTCACTTACCTCATCAGGGTTGGCATTGAAGGTGAGACTGCCCTCATCTAGCTGCATATACAATTTTCTAAAAGAAAATCCTAGAGGCGGATTCTTATTGTATATAGAACAGTGACCCCAAGTGGATTTGCACAACCTATGAAAATAGAATTAATCTATTATAAAAATTCCTTTCCGAATTTCATGGATTTTACAGAAGCAAAATGTAATCAACACTGCAAAGCTAATACTTGAGCTATAGGAAAAGTTAGAAGTAGGTTGCTGTAACAGTTATTAAGTCTTTTTGCCATGTTTTTCTAAAATCTTCAATTATATGATTAATGTTTTTGTCTCATACAGGTTTTGGTGTATTTGAATGCAACACCAAAACACATCCCAGTAGGTGGCATCATGACAACCACACAGCAGAGACCTCTGGCACTCCTAGAACCTGGAGAACAGCGACAAGTAGTTCTCCTGGGGTACTATGACAGATTAAAACATTGTGTTTCTTTTCCTGTGCCCCAGTTGTGCAGTGAATTGGACACAATTGTGCAGTATCTGCACAATTATGCCATTAACTCAGCACTTTCCCCATCTGTCCTTCTTCACCCAACTCCTCTTCCTCTTGTCCTAATTGGCCAGTCCTAATAACTAGATCCAGTCCCATCCCTCTATATCTTCTATAACTTTTAAGCTTCTTTCCTTTTTATTCCACCCTGACTCCACAAGTTTCATCAGTTTCTGTCCCTCATCTCAGTTTCTTTGATGATACCATCTGCAACCACCTTTCTACACACTCTAAATTCCTTACTGAACAGGTAGATCTGCTTCAACACACCTGCCCTGTAACTAACCAGGAACAATGTTTAGGACACAGCAGGTAGTCACTGGAGACATGGCAAAGATTCTGTTTTCAGTTCTGGAACCTAGGTGTTATTTGGACTGAGTTTGGAACTGCAACCACAGTACTGCCAAAGCTTAAACACACCCTCATACGTGTGGAATAGTGAAGATTCTTACAGAGATTATGCAAATTAGGATTTTTATTTATTGCTAAATCAGGACCCATTTTCAGTACCAAAATAAATGTGGTGTGAATGTATTATTTGGTAAGATTGCACAAAAAATAGTTGAACGGTTTCCCAGAACGAACTTCAAGGAAAATATGTATTTCCACCCCACATGTTAAGAATATATACTCCATGTAATTAAGAAGCTCTACTATCTTCAAGCTTTGGCCTAGGGAATTTATTTTTATTTAGGCTGAGTTTGATACCAAGAACTGAGCACAGTACAATGCATATTGGTAAACTTAGCAGCTTACCGGTATCCTTCACTAGAATTCCTGTTTCCTGTCAATAGAACAGTCCCCAACAGCAGAACAATTGTGACTAAGAAGTTATGCTGCATTAACCTTTTGCTAGGTTCAAAAGCATGATAGGAAGGGAAGCTGCTGAATTGAAATGCAGCTGGGCAAGGAAACAGATGAGGGGAGGAGCAGATGTACAGCATAATGAAAGGTAAATAAACAACCTGAACAGCAACCCAACTGCTACAGTAGTAATACTATCTGTTAAGGGAGCAGAAAATGTTGTGAAAAAAGTTAAAAGTTTTGCTGACCACCTACTCTAAAGATAAGTATGATTTCATAAATGTTTCCTAGTGCTCTAAAACATTAAACACCAAAGAATGTGTTAATTACATTTTGATATTACACTATTTTATCTTAAAAATGTTCCTTTATTTACTTCCCAGACATATAAATTCTGCATATGTTATATATAAATGTGTTTCAAGTGTTAGGCTGAAGAAATTTCACTTGAGAAAAAACTACCTTTTCTTTCCTCCCTCCACGACCATCCTCCAAAAAAGGTACACCTAATTTGCTTCAAGTGTAGTAGAACAGTTCTCACTTCTCCTCCTTTGGAAGTTTGGCTGAATAGGTTTGCTTGCTTAAGCTAGACAACTGTTCCAAGTTCAGAGAAGTAATGATACAAACACCTGAGATGTGCTTTGAGCTAATACAAAAGTGAAGATAGGTCCCTGTTTTTACCCCGTGCTATCTCAAACACCAGGTGTTTAATAATACACATGTATACTTGTGCCAAGCATGCTTGTATATACAGTAATCTCCAGTAATACCCCATACTAATTAGAAATCCAGAATAACACATTTTTAAACTATATATGTTTCCTCTATATAAATCTCATTTAACTTGGGAAACCTTTGCTAGGTTAGGAAGACAAAAAGCACTTACTGAGGCAAATTTAAAATCTAATACTTTTTACTATGCCCAGGTGATACTTCTTTTTTCGGGCTTACCCTTGCCAGAGAAGCTCATCATTAGCAAGATCCTGCCAGACACATGATGCTAGACAGAGATCAGTTGCATTCAGGTATGACAAAATGGTAAAACTGAGCTCTGGTGGCAACATTTCCAGGTTAATGAATCCTTCTTGTTCTTTAGATTTTCTTGTCTTCAGCAGGTGGTAGATGTCAATGCCTCCTTGAGCTTGTTTGCGATGGCTTGTATTGGAAACATTGTTAGCAGGTATCCTCCTATGCTCTCTGGTAAGATAGCCTTGTCCACTGTATCCTTGCTGCTGCAGTTGCTGGTTTCTAGCAATTCTCCAGAGTCCCTGACCCATCTGCGAGCCTGCTGGACATAAAATCCAAATTAGACATTGACAGCTATTCGTAAACATTTGTATGACAGACTCAGCATGTAAGTAAAATTTTACAACTGATCTGAATAGGTAGAAAGTGAGTTCTGGCAAAGTTATGTTGACCAAGTAATCAGTTTTCATAGGGGAACTGAAAAATACTGAAAATAAAACCCATTTAAAAAACCTAGATTTTTTTCAAAAGTTTCCATGATTGAAGAGCTACAAAGCTAACAATAAGCTTCTTCAAAGACTACCAAATATTATCTATATCACATGGAAGGTTAAGAAACCTTAGTCTTCAGAACATTTGGAACCTTCAGACTTCCTTCAAAATTTCATAAAAAGACCTTATTTAGAGTCAGTGAAGGACTCTTTAGAGTCAGTGATTGGATAACACAGTCACTGACACTGAAACAAAGTTGAATGACTTCAGTGATAATGCATTAAGAATTCTGAGTGCTCAGAAACAAGAGAATAATACCTTTTCAAGCTTTCTTACCTAGTGGTGTAACATAAAGCCTTGATAATAAGACACACACATACTTATACCGAGAATATCACTGCAGAAATAGTGTAAAAAGCCTTTTTGCAATGTAAAAAAAAAATAAATTAAAACATATTTTCTATTTTAAGGACAAACTGAAGAAATTTCACAGAAGAAACAAAATGAGACAGAATTTAAAACAGCCTAGAACCAGCTGCCAAAAATCCACAAGCTCTGCTATTTGTGTAGCTATTCAGCAGCTTATATGCCATTTGCTAGAACACATATAATTTTCCCAATCACGTAATTACTTTCAGCTTTGTAATAATCCAGGATGAATGCTTTCATAATAAAAGATGAGCAAACCCATTGTTATGAAGCCTTTTAAGTAATGGCGTCAAAGACTATATTTCAAAATTATTTTGAACCTGTATTTTCAATCTTCAGATTTCATACACCGTTCAAATGCATGTTTTCAAACTTCTAATAATGTAATCTTATCTAGTAATTTAAACCTCTTGATAGCTTGGCTGGAGCAGCTACCACAGCAAAAATAACATCGAGCTTGTCATATATTTATAAATTGCTGATCTTCTCTAGCTCTGTCTGCTATCTATCAAAGTCTGATTTAAATTCTAATTGTGTCTTCCTCATGTTACTTTGCTACTGCATAATAAATTCTTTTGCAGTGCTGACAAGCATGATAGGATGCTAAAAGTAATCTAGATTAATGCTGCATTAGTACTGGATTCTACTTTATTCAATAAAGACCAACATGCATTCTAGATATAAACACTCTCCACTTTACAGTAACTGAGCCCTACAGCTGCTGATTTGCAGCCACGATTATCCCAACAGGAAAACGTTCCTTCCTTCGACGCAAGCCATCGAAGCTGAAGCTTCGTTCCTAGCAGCTGCATTCAGTCGAGGCCGGCTGGTCCCCCCCCGTAACGTGAACACTTCAATCCCGACTCCGGGCAACCAGGCTGGCGGGTGGAGGCGCAGCCGATCCCGGAGGCCCAGAGCCGCCCCCGGGAGCCGAGGCCCGAAGCCGCCCAAGGCCGCACCGCGTCCCGAGAAGCTCCGCAGCCGTGCCGCCCCCGAGCCGCTCCTGCCTGCGCACAGCGGCACCGGGACCCGGCCCGGGCACGGCCGCCCCGCTCTCGGGGCACCGGCGATCGCGGCCCGGCGGGTGCCGCCCC